AGAACCTCTATATAGAAAACTGTAAGAAATTGTAAAAGAAGACATAAGAAATGTGAAGATATTTCCTGCGCATATATTAGAAGAATAAACATAGTCAAAATGACCATCCACCCCAAAACATTATACAAATTCAATGAAATCCCAATCAAATGTAATGGCATTCTTTAAGAAACAGAACATATATTACTGAAATTCATATGGAACTACAATGGACCCTGATAGTCAAAGCAATCCTAACAAAACAGAGGAAGAATCATCCTATTATAGTTCCAGACTTCAAACTATACTATAAAACAATAATAAATAAACATGATACTGGAACAAAAATAGAAACACAGACCAATGGAATAGAATTGAGTGCCCAGAAATGAACCAACACCTATATGGATTGTTAATGTAAGGAGGCAAGAACATACATTGGAGCAAGAAAAGCCTCTAAATAAATAGTGTTGGTAAAACTGAACAACTACATGCAAAAGAATCAAGCCCGATCAACATCTAACACCACACATGAAAATCAACTCAAAATGGATAAAAGATTTCAAACCATAAAACACATAAAAGAAAATGTAGGGAAAACAATAAACAACATAAGCTTCAATGATGTCTTTGCACCTATGTCTCCAACAGCAAGTAAAACAAAAAAAGTCAAACAATTGGGAGTACATGAAACTAAAAAACTTCTGCACAGCAAAAGAAACCACAACTAAGGCAAAAAGACAACCAACTGAATGGTGAAAAAATATTCACACCCCATCCATCTAATAAGGTGTTGATATAAAAGAAATACAAGGAATTCAAATAAGTCAACATAAATAACAAGATATAACCCAATCAAAAAAAAAAAGGGGGGGGGCAGAAGAGCTAAATAGGCAGTTTTCAAAAGAAGATATATAAATGGCCAAAAGGCACATGAAAAAAGTCACTCATCAACAGAGAAATGCAAATGAGTGAGGTAATACCTCACTCCTGTGAGAATGACCCATATTAGTAAGACCAAAAGCAAGTGCTAGTGAGGATATGGAGATAAAGAAATGCTTGTATGCTGTTGGTGGACTGCTCCAGTCCCTATTGAAAACAGTATGGAGGTTTGTCAAAAGATTAAAAATGTAGGGCCTCCCCTGGTGGCGCAGCAGTTGAGCACAGGGCTGCAAAGCTGCCCTCAGCCTGTACAGCACCGGTTTGATCCCCGGCCACCAGCGAGGGTCCCACATGGTGCGATAGACCTCTCCTACCGCGCCCGCTGCTACCCTCAGCAGTGTATTTCATCAGTCTGCCTGTTCTGTTCCCCACTCTAGCTTTGTTGAATTCTCTCACCCTTCCGCACTTCTGACTGTACCCAGTGGGTGTATAAATAAATAAATAAATAAATAAATAAATCTTTAAAAAAAAGATTAAAAATGTATCTACCACACGACCCAGCGATTTTATTCTTAGGTATATACTTGAAGAACACAAATACACAAATTCGAAGGAAAATCTGCATTTCTATGATCATTGCTGCATTATTTACAATAGTTAAACTATGGAAATAACCTTAATGCCCTCAAACAGATGAATGGATCGAGAAGGAATACTATAAAGGAATACTATTCAGGTATCAATAAAGGTAAATCATAACATTTGTGACAACATGGATGGAATTGGAAGGAATGAGCTAAGTGAAATATGTCATAAGGTAAAAGACAAAAACAGATTCTATCACTTGTATGTAGTATATAAAGAAACCAGACAAAGTGTCAGATAAAGCCAAACTCAAAACTCTAGTGCTTGAAAGCAAACAACAGAACTGAGACATTCAGCCTGGGAGGGGAAGAGAGAGGCAAAAAAGTGAGAAAGGAGCACAATGGACTATGGTGGTGTACTGTTTATGGGTGTTTTGGTGGTGGGATTGCTATGGTAACAACACCAGAAAGCGGGGAGGGAAGAATCTTATACTTCTAAAATACAAAGAACAATGTGAACTAATAAAAATATATATTAAAAAAAAATGAAGGGCCTCCCCTGGTGGCACAGGAGGTTGAGCACCATGCTGTGGAGCTGTCTGCAGCCTCTGCAGCACCAGTCCAATTCAGAAGAGCCGGCGAGGGTCCCAAATAGCACAGCAAACCTCTCCTGTCTCGCCCGCTGCTCCCCACTCAACAGTGTATTTCGTCATTCTGCCTGTTCTGTTCCACGATCTGTATCTGGTGAATCCTCTCACCGTCCCGGGCATGTGGTCTGTACCCCAGTTCTTGTATAAATAAATAAATAAATCTTTAAATAATAAAAAAGTAAAAAAAATGAAATAGTTCCTTTTAGGACAAAAATGGTGGACCTTGGAGAAATTATGCTATGTGAAGTAAGTGAGAAAGTGAATGAAAGACACCTGATGGCTTCAGTCATGTAGGGAATATAAGTAACCAAAGAAAACAAACTAGTAAAGCACAGCAAAAATAATTATTTTTAAAGATTTATTTATTTATGTATACAAGAGCTTGGGTACAGGCCAGAGATGCGGGGGATGAGAGGATTCACCAGAGACAGAGTGGGGAACAGAACAGGCAGACTGACTGAAATACACTGCTCAGGGGAGCAGCAGGCGCAACAGGAGAGGTCTACTGTGCCATGTGGGAATCTCCCTGGCCGGCCAGGGATCAAACTTGTGCTGCAGAGGCTGCAAATTGCTTCACTGTGCAGTGCTTAACCCCTTGCACCACCAGGGAGGGCCAGCCAAAATAATTCTTAAGACTATGAAAAATATACTTGTTACTAGAGGGAAGAGTGAGGAGGCGATAAATGTAGGAACATGATAGGACACTGGCTAGGAAGTTTTATTGGCGGATGAGTGAAACGTGTGCACACATGAAGGTGTGAAAATTTATCCCCAAAGTTATATAGATATGTTTATGACTGAAAAATTAATAAAAGTGTGGGAAAAAGCTATTGTATCTTGTGTCACGTGAATTATATCTCACTAAAACTTTTATAAAAACACATTCATTCCCTCATAATTCTGTCACTGTTCATACTTTCATTTGTATTCTTTCAAACTTTATTAAAAACAAACACATGTATCTTTCCCCCTCTAGGAAATATATCATAGTACACATAATTTTTTTTTTCCTAAGTGTGTTTTGTAGATATATTTCTATTTTTTCTAAGTATAAAAGTACCATCATTATTAATAAGTGTTCAACTATATGAATGCATCAAAATCCATTTAATCAATTCCCTAATGATAAATATACTATTTCCAGTCACCATTTTTATAAATATTCTAAAATATTTTTATAATCTTGGGCCTCCCCTGGTGGCGCAGCGATTGAGTGCTGGGCTGCGAAGCTGCCTGCAGCCTCTGCAGCCCCAGTTCGATCCCCGGCCACCAGCGAGGGTCCCACATGGCGCGCAGATCTCTCCTGCCGCACCTGCTGCTCCCCTCAGCAGTGTATTTCATCGTTCTGCCTGTTCTGTTCCCCTCTCTGGCTCTGGTGAATTCTCTCACCCACCCCACTTCTGACTGTACCCAGTGCTTGTATAAATGTATAAAAGAAAATGTATAAATATAACCTTATAAATGTTTACTAAGTCAAAGGGTAATCAAATTTAAAAATTTTTGATACATGTCATCAAATTATTTTTCTTAAAAGCTTTGTAAAGCAATTTATAATCATATCACAAATTGTGAAATAGTATCCATTCTTCCCAAACCCTTGGCAATATTGGTTATTGCTTCTCATTATCTTCTCATTCTGAAGGTAAATAATATTTTTACTGTTATTTAAATTGCATTTGTTTGACTCTTAGTAAAACTGGGCCTCCTTTGAGATATACTGTCCACATAACACATTAAGATAAAATATTTCTGGGGCTTCCCCGGTGGCGCAGCGGTTGAGCGCTGGGTTGCGAAGCTGCCCGTGGCCTCTGCGACGCCGGTTCAATCCCCGGCTGCTCCCCGGCCACCGGAGGAGGGTCCCAAATGGCGCACAGACCTCTCCTGCCACCCACTGCTCCCCTCAGCAGTGTACTTCGGTCCTTCTGCCTGCTCTGCTCCCCGCTCTGGCTCTGGTGAATTCTCTCACCCTCCCGCACTTCGACTGTACCCAGTGCATGTATAAACAAAACAAACAAACAAACAAATAAATAAATAAAACATGCCTCTATAAAAAAAATAAATAAAATATTTCTCTTTTAGGGAAAAAGACAAAGGAATTTAAAAATGCAGAGTCCTTTCTCATGGAAGAAGCAAGTATATAACTGCACAATGCAATAAAGAAACCTTAAAAATTATTTGAAATCCTGATATAAACTTAACTCTTTGTGGACAATTATCATTTACTCTTACATTTAATAAATATGAACAAATTCATCACAAAAATCATCCACTGTCCAAAAAGTATTTAAAAATAAAACATGGTCTTTTATATAAAGTCCTCATAGATATATATGAATAAAAATTCAAGCCTCATGGCTAAAACTTCAATTCTAATCTACACCAACTTTCAGGCTAGCACAGGTTTCTTATAGGATGAGACATTTTAGATGGTACAAGAACACCTGTACATAATTTGAGTTTACAGACATAGGAAATATGTTTCATGAGTTTTCAAGACAATAAGGGATAGAGATGTTCAGAGTAAGACAAGAAAGATAAATGCTGGAGCAGTGAGGAATAGCGTCAAGTAGGGCATGAACCTTAAAAAGAAAGCATGTCTTAAAGAAGAGAGAGAAAACGGGAGGAAGACTAAAAGAAAGAAGAGATGGGGCCTCCCTGGTGGTGCAAGGGGTTAAGAACCAGGCTATTAAGCAATCCACAGCCTCTGCAGCACGAGTTTGATCTCCGGCCTGCAAGGGAGCAACCCACATGGCGCAGCAGACCTCTCCTGTCTGGCCCGCTGCTCCCTCAGCAGTGTATTTCAGTCAAGTCTGCCTATTCTGCTCCCCACTCTGTCTCTGGTGAATCCTCTCACCCCCCGCATCTCTGGCCTGTACCCCAGCTCTTGTATGGATAAATAAACAAATCTTAAAAAAAAAGAGGGGAAAAGAGGGAGAAAATGCATGTAGAAGCACAGGAGGATGTAGGAGGTATTTCTGGGCAGGACTGGTATGAAGAAGCAAAGGAATGGATGAGAGAATATACATGGGATATACAGGACAGATGAGTAAATCAATTAGGCTGGCTTTGAGGGTTTATACAGGGACTAGAAGATGAGAGAAGACTATATTTCTAAGTCATTCTGAAGGCCAGGCTAAAATATTTCAATTCATTCAACTGAATTCGATTCAATTCAAATTCCTATACGAGACAGAGGAAACATTAAAGATTTCTAAATAGAGCAAAGATGATCTGGCAAAGACAGTCAGGATATATTGAGCAGTGAAAAGAAAATTGAAGATAATGGGTCAAATAATGGAATCCTTGACTAAGGTAGGTGGTAACAGAAATTGAAAAAGAAAGACAAAACAGAAAAAGAAATCACTTAGAAAGAAATGATAGACTATGGCTATTACTTGAATGGGATTTTATTTACTTATTTTTTTTCTGTTGAGGTAACATTGGTTCACCTTGTTCATGTTTTAGAAGTATGGGACTGCCCATCTCCTCCTTCAGGTGCTATCATACCACACCCATCATCAAAACACCAAGAGTTCACCATCATAGTCCATTGTGCTCCCTCCCCACTTTGTTCTTACTCTTTCCCTTACCCTTTCCCCTCTGGTAGCCTCATGTCTATAGTCAAATTTCTAGGGCTTATTATTAGTCTGGTTTTATCTGACCCCTTGTTTGGTTTCTCTATATTCCACATGTAAGTAATACCATAGGTATTTGTCTTTCTACTTCTGACTTATTTCACTTAAAGTAAGCTGCTCTAGCTCCATCCCTGATGCAACAAATGGCAACAGTTTATCTTTTATGATAACTGAGTAGTATTCTATTGAGTATAGAATACTATACTCAATCTTCCTGATCCACTCACCTGTGTTTGGGCACTTAGGTTGTTTCCATAGCTTGGCTATTATAAATAGTACTGTAAATAAACACAGAAGTGCATGTTTCTCCTTGAATAAGTTTTTTTTGTATTCTCAAGTAGATACCCAGGAGTGGAATTGCTGGATCATATGGCAGATCAATTTTTAATCTTTTGAAAAAACTCCATTCTGTTTTCCATAGGAATTGGACCAGTGCACATTCCTACCAACAGTGTAAAGGTTTTTTTTTTTCCCCTCCACATTAGATGGGAATTGAGAAGAGATGAGGTAAGGGCAACATCAAAGATAATAAGGGCTTCAGCCTAAATGACTGGACAGACATAAATTATCTACATTAGAGGTAGATGCTGCTGAGGCAACCGATATAAAATATTTCAAACACCTGTTTACACAAATATGTACTTCATAGTTACCTGTCTCCATTGTTACAGAACTGAACAGCAACAACTTTATCCTATAACATAAAACAACAGATTTATGGTTAAAATTTATATAAAAAACAAATTGTTCTTCCCCTCAAATTCACTTGTAAAAGCATCATGGAGTAGATTTTTAAAAACAATTAAAAAAGAACACTAATTGTCTTTGAAAAAATTAATGAAAGCTAAACAATTAATTAGCCAAGGAGGAATACTTATCAACAGTAATTTGAGACAAACCAGACATAAGCAAACTTGTAATTTTTATGGTTTAGAAAACCATAATCACAATAGACAGATAGTTCTGAATAGGTATTAGTTCATTATGTCTCCCCTAAAATAGTATGCCAATGGAAACACCACTTTAACTGACTTAATAGTAGTTAAATTCCCTCCTTAATCCATTATTTTAATTTCAGAAAAAAATAATTTTGTTTCCCACAAGGAATAACTAACTTATAATGAATTTATCTGATAGTCCTTGGGTACCATAGTTTATAGACTGTTGTTTGAATCTTTTATAATGATTAAACCATACTCTTACAAATCTAATGTGTATCACAGCAAGAAGAGTGAAGTGCAAGCCAAAATGTGGATAATTCTCTTCTTTATCCCTTGATAATAAAAGTGTACCCTCAAATGTTGTACACACATTTTCACAAACCACTCAATTACTACATTGAATTTGCACTTAATTTTTAATTAAAAACTCAGATATTATGTGCTTTTTAATTATTTTTCATTAAAATTTTTTTAGGCTGTATATGTTTTGAGGTAACCATGATTCATACTGTTACATGATTTCACTAGCTGCAATAATTGGTTCTACATGTTCTGAAGGGACATCTTATTTTAAATACTAAAGTCCCCACTGATTTCGGTAGGGATTATTTATTTTATCTGACTTCTTATGAGCTAGACACATGCAAAAAAAACAAAAAACAAAAAAGACACCTCTACCAATTTTTCTTCATTCTGCCCAATTCTTTCCTATTAATTTATTTTTCCCTATTCTATCAGCTCTCAATAAACTTAACTGCACGGGTATACACACTCTACCTGGGCAGTAATTGTAAAGATGCCTCCCTTGCATGCTCTAGCACAAATGAATTTCTCCCACTGGATAGTCTCATATTGAGATCTTTATATCCTAGGTTTTTCCCTTCCACAATTTAAATATTCCAGAATTTTAGTATTTAGGAATAAGTTAACAGGAAGACAAGAACTCAGTTTGGTTCAGTAAGTCTTCATGATATTGTCCTATGTTTATATGTCAAAACAGGAAGCAGAATGTTATTTCCAAAAGCTCAAGAAAGAAAAAGTTTTCTAACAGGGGTCTCTTTTACTACAAGATTCAGGAATATTATTGATTCTACAACTCACAAAGTATCTTTTTTTAAAGTTATCTTTCAGGGAAATTGTGTGTTTTTTATTAATGTATATTAATACTATTTCAAATCAGTTGTCAATAGCAGTTAAGAACAGTAACATTAAGATTTGCAAAGCTGAGTGCTTTCAATTTCTGACTACACAACTTCAATGACATGTACATTGAGTTGAAAGAAAATTACTCCCAAGATCCATAGTAAATAATTATCTGAAAAAAATGATTAAAAAATAAGTAGGAAAAGATGAAAGGAACACAAGGGAGGGGAGAGAACTTGAGAGAAAAAGTGTCAGTCACTAATGTCTCTCACCTCAGGAATAAAGCTGTTCCCTGATAGAAGGTTGTTATTGATTACAGAGTGGAATTGTGTTTCAGGGATCTTTAACATCATTTTGAAAACAATACTCACATCGACAAGCTAAATTCAGTACAAAAATTTTCCTAAGACATACTTAATATGTATGTCTTTAACAAATATATCAATTTAACTAATTTATCAATTTAAATGCCAACAACTTATTTAATTAAAGTATAGCAGGCTAAAAGAGCCAGCTAAGGTTCTTTTTATAAACTACTATTTATAAATTATGACTGCAATATATATGCAATTTTTTCCTATAGTCAAATAGAACTTATTTTAAAAACCGTAACTATACTAAATCTAGAATATTACACTATTACTGAAAAGACATGTTACTCATATACATTTTAGTACCAATCTTAGTAAAATAGGGTACAGCTGAGAACAGAAGAGATAATACCAATTTCCCAGGGATATTGAAAAAGAAAGCAGCATATTTAAATTTCTTATTTTGCCCTTACCGTATGTGACTCTAATTCAGCAATTTTCTCAGGGATCTCAGAACCCAAATAATATATCCTAATCACATGGTCAGTGCTACCTGTTGTAATAAACATACCACCTGGAGGATTAAAAACAAACAAAGAAACATCATCTCAAGGTACTTTAAAATCTCTGATAGCTTCCTTAGTTATATGTACCCCATGTTCATTAAAAGGTTATCTTCTAATCATTAAAGACATAGCCACATTTTAGAAAAAATAGATAAAATTCAATACAAAGAAGAGAACTATTTAAAGGGCAAGCAAAACATTCACTCAAAAAAATCTACCAGTTATGCAATGAACCAAGTCTGGATTGTAGGATTTAAGGTCACAGCTTTGAGGAATTCATTCCTTTATTTTTTATGTTAAGACAATAATGTTGCAAAATTATTTATAAAATGATCTATTATCTAGAAGTCTCTTTATAGGAGTTATAGTGATTGAATATATAAACTCAACCACTTCTGGGATGATGAGAAAATTCTACTACTATACTATGTATAGTAGTAATGAATGCAGAATGTAAATATACTTAATACTACAGAACCATACACTTAAAAATGGCTATTAAAATGGCAATTTTTGTTATATTTTACCACAATAAAAGAAAAAGCTAATTAGAGAATGATTATTAACAGTAGGAAAGCACTGTTTACACATTGTAAAAGTGTCTCCTATATGAAGCAACAGCAACATGTTTTCTGAAATGTCATGGCAGGATTTTAGTGTTGAATTTGCATTTTTACTGACTAAAATCTGTATTATAAAAATATTAATTGCAAATAAAGAAAAAACTCAACAGCCTTTACATGCTAATTAGAGTCCACAAAGGTCCACCTATCATAACATATGGTTCACTCTTTTGGTATATTTCTGTTAACACTGAAATATAAGCATTTTTACCTCCACAAATTTGAAATATACATACCAGAACTGAAAGATGAACAAGATATCTGAACTCCGGGTCGGGATCTCTCAGTAAATTTCACTGGACGATCTCTAAGAGAAAAGTAATATGTTCTTTTTTTTCATCATGTTATCTAATGCATAAAAACCTTAGCATGCTGCTGGATATTAATATATATAGTATCAATATTATAGAAACCACAAAATTGAAAGTGAATAAATACTATTCCCATCATCCATGTTAAAAATGAATTTACCCTTAAAAATAAACTTTACAATGTCAGTATTATTAATATAGCTTTAAAATAAATTCAACTGATCCTTGATTAACATGAATTTGAACTGTTTAGGCCCACTTATATGCTGATTTTTTTAAATAAATATATTACAAGAATTTTTTTGAGATTTCAAAATGCATATCAGTCTATCATCACAGTTTTTTTTACATGTAACATTTTCAGTACTATAATATGAATATGACTGTAATACTATATGCCATAAAAAATTTTATAAGGATTCACTCATAGTGTATAGGCTAGGCCAACATGAAGCAATCATATCAGTTACACTAAACTGCTATAAAGTAATTATGTTCCTGCTGCTTTGCTATCAATGTGTGAATCTTTATATCTGTAAATAAACATGAATTTCTTTTTCATGTTAACTTTTCATTTATTGATATCAAGTATGAGAAAATGTATAGTATCTACAGCGTTTTTTAGCATATAAGACAATATTGATCTAGGTACTAAAAAGACAATTGAACTTCTAAACAAATGATATAAGCTTTATGTAATCAACAATACAGTACAGTATTATAAACATATTTTTTGTCCCTATGACTTTCTTAGTAACATTTCCTTTTCTCTAGCTTACTTTAAGACTACAGTATACAAATAATTACATATACTCTATATAAGATACAAAATATGTGTTCATCGACTATTTATGTTATTGAATAGACTCCCATATAACAGCAGGCTATTAGTAGTTAGGTTTTGGGAGAGTTAAAAGTTGTATGTGGATTTGTCTGCATGTGGATCAATGCCCCAACTACTGCATTGTTCAAGAGTCAACTGAACTATAATTAGGAGAAGTTCAAAGTCTTATAGCAGGGTAAGAAATAAAAAAAATACTCTTTACCAAAACTATGTATAGTCTCTTCAATGTAGTTCCATAAAAATTTTATTTCAAAATCTCTAACACAAAATTGAAGTATGGACATATATATACAGATAGATAGTAACTAATTAAATATATGGACTATTAAAATATCTCAAGGTAATAATGCAAAATTATTCATGCTTGTTTTACACAAAATTTCTAACCCAATTCTAAACTTACCTAAACTTCATTGTTTTTGCATGCCATTGCCAGAAACATACTGTTCCATCAGCACCAGTAGAAGTGAGGTATCTGGTTGTGCCTTTAGTTGATGGACAAAACTTAAAAAAAAAAAAAATTCTAATTCAAATAGAAAGGTTTTATGTTTAAACTTATTTTAAACATAGCATGTTCTAAAATTATACACACTTTAATAAACAGGTTATAATATATTCACTTAAAATTTGTTTCACAATAACAGCTATTTAAATTTCTTAAGTTTTAGAAATATTTTGAAATGCTGAAATATAATTAGCAGTATTTCTAATTTGTGATCTAAAATGTAATGCATAGCTGAAATCTTTGTTAAAGCTAACTCTGCCTTTTAATATACTGGTAATTAGATAACTACAAGCAATTAACCATCAAATGTATTTTTCTTTCATTTTTTATTTAAGTAATGTTGGTTTACATCATTGAGATAAATGAACACTTTACAAAGATTTAAAATATAAAGTAACTGTAGAAAATTGTCATTGTAAAATATTTCAGACATAAAAACGACTTTAAAACTATATCTGGCAGTGGGGGAAGCAAACATTGTTTGAAAATGAACACTGGTATAAAATATATAAAAATAAATAAAATTACTTAACATGACACTTCTAAGATTTCACTGATTTTAATGAAGAAACTCAAGTCATTTATAGTTATATCATTAGGGATTCCCTGGTGGCCTAAAGGGTTAAGTCTCAGTGCTATCACCAATACAACCTGAATTCTAGGCACAGTGTCCCCCCCCCACCCCCCCCAACCCCCACCCCCGCCAGCCCTCAGTCAGGGAGCTAACCCACATGGCGCAGCAGACCTCTCCTGTCTGGCCTGCTGCTCCCCTCAGCAGTATATTTCAGTAAATCTGCCTGTTCTGCTCCCCACTCTGTCTCTGGTGAATCCTCTCACCCCCACACCTCTGGCCTACATTCCAGTTCTACACACAGAAAAAAAATAAAAAAAAAAAACAGTTAAATCATTAATAATCTCCTAAACATAAATGTACATAGTAAAAATTAGGAAATTTTTATAGTACATATGAATATGGCATCAGAAGTAAATCTAAACCAATGATTAGGAAATAATATCTAAGTGTTGGGCTTTATTTAATATCTCACTTTAAACTCCAACTTCAATGAAGTGTGGTATCAATTTTGTTCTTTTAAAATGTAACCATTATCATTCAATTTAATGACTAGTGCAAATAGATCAAATTTCTGTTCACATCATCATGGAAAAATAGATTAAAAAACATATACTAAGTTGCCAATGTAAAGGACAGTTACTACCCTTGACAGAAAATGAACATAGGCCTTAATCATAGGAGTCTGAGTTTCTGACACTTAGTACTTTACATGTCCTTAGAATAGAATCACTGAGAAGAGCTAGTAGGCTAATGATGCATGGGACATAAAAAATAGTTGAAAATCAAACATATCTCTAGTATGCCTAGAGTTTTAAAAATTCCAAACAGATAAAGAATACCTTCCATTGATATAAAAATTACAGATAAATATGCATAGTATTTGAATAAAATTTTAATTCAAATGAAAAATGGATCATTATAGATAAAAGAAGTCATTTAACTTAGTTTTACTGTTTGGAAGCACAGAACTTCTAAAAACTACAGAGTTTAATTCACATAATAATCATTAATTAATATTATCTCTTCATAGTTAATGTATATAAAGAAATTAATACTTGGGGGGGAAGTAAATATTGTTTAAAAATAAACAATGATGTAAAAAATAAAATAAATAAGTAATAAATACATAAATAATAACAAAATAACACCTGTACCCCTATGTTTATTGCAGCACTATTTATAAAAGGTAAACTTGGAAACAACCCAAATGCCCAAAAATAGATGACTGGATCAAGAAGATGTGGTACATATACACAATGGAATATTATTCAGCAATCAAAAAAGATAAACTCATGCCATTTGCAGCAACGTGGATGGATCTAGAAGGAATTATGCTCAGTGATATAAGCCAGAAGGAAAAAGAAAAATATTGGATGGTTTCACTTAATAGCAGGAATATAGGGGAACCCAATAAGACATCAATGTAAAAAAATAATAACAGTACAAAACACAACAAAGAAAAAATGGACAATTATAAATCAGAGACATCCTGCAGGGGAGGAGGATGGAGAGGGATCAGAGGGAGGGAGGGAGGAGCACAGGGGACTGTGGTGATGGTGCACGGGTGCATTGGGGAAGGAAATTCTATGGGGACTACACCTGAGGGGTGTAAAAAAAAAGCAAATATTGTTTATAAATGAACAATAAGTAAAAAATAAATAAATACATACATAAAATGCATATAAATAATAAATAAATACTTGGGTAACTTTCCTATATTTTCATTTCTAAGACAGAGAAGCTTTCATTAGAAAACATTAATCCACAATTTATAGGAAATTATGGCCCACAAACCCATTCCACCTTACTACCTGTTTCTGTAAATAAAGTTTAATTGAAACATAGTTAGCATACACTGCCCATGGCAGCTTTTGCACTGCAACAGCAAATTTAAATATTTGCAACAGAGACCACACAGACTGCAAAGCCTTAACTTTTACTATCTGGCCTATAAATTTGTTGATCTCTGATCTACAAGAATGAAACAAATTGAAAGAGCAATTTTGTTAAGTTTGAAGAAACACTGAAACATTTATTATCCCTACTATATTTAAATTCAGATAGTATAAAAATAAAAACATACGCAATTCAGAGATACAAATACATACTTATTAAAGGTAAAAAGAATAAGAGCTACCAACAATTCTGCTGCCCAGAGGCTACAACTATCAATATCATACCACTTTATCTCAATTAAAAAATGATATTAAATGAGACAGTTATCAAAGAATAAATAAAGTGCATAGAATGCATGCTAAGTGGTGATCATTATTAGGGAGAAAATTGAAACTCAGGGGAGATACAGAGTGTAGATGAGGGGGGTAAGTATTATCATTTTATTAGAGTGGTAAGGTGATCAGAGAAGGTTTCCCTGAGAAAGTAACACATGCACAAAGCAATTAGAAAATGAGGTAATAAGTCTTATGACTATTCAACGTAGACCCTTTCAGAGATAAGAAAAAGCAATAGCAAAAGCAGTTGTGTAGCTAGAGTGCTGCAAAAAAAGCAGAGAGGGCAGCAGTTAAAGCAGAATGAGTATACAAATAGTGAAGATTAGGTCAAAGAGAGCAAGGAGCTGAGAATCTATAAGGTCCTGTAGGTCATTTTAAAAGCATCAGCTTTTATGTCAGGCTTGAGCATTATTAGATATTTGATTTAAATTCCATTTTATTTTGTTTGTTTGTTTTTAATCATTCAGACTGCTATGCAGAGGTTAGAGTGGAGCAAGAGGGAGAAAAGTGAAGATGCAGGAAGATCGGTTAGAAGTCTATTTCAATAATCTAGGTCTCAGATGATAGTATGAAATAGGGTATTAATGATGGAGGTCATGAGATTTGTCAGACTCTAAATAAGTATTAGGAGAGTAGAGTCAACATGATTTACTAACAAGTTAGATATATGTATAAGACAATGAAAAAAATCAGAAATGACAGCTCTCATCTACTGCTCTAAGTCAATATATTTATTGAATGTCAAACATCAGTTAAAATAAGAAATCACTGAAATTAATATAAAAATTTTCCTACCATTAAACTACAGATATACTGAATCTGATAAAAATATTTTGCAGCAAATATTAACACAAAGTATGCCAATATTCAAGTTAGAACGTGCTTATATCCTAATCAACAGGTACTCGTATTGCTCCTTAAAGGCATTTACAAGTCTCCTTTCTTCTTAATAAATATAAGTGAGATAAATAAGATGTCTCACACTGTATCTGCAAAAACCTTTGCAAGGAAACTTTTCTAAAGGGAATAGATTTACAGGAAAAAGGAACTTTAAAATATACCTGACTGTCAGAGAAAGACAAACACCATATAATTTCACTCAAATGTGGTACATAGAGAAACAAAATAAATAAACTAGATGACACAAAAATAAATTTGTAGAGTATAAGACCAAATTAATGGTTATCAGGCAAGGGGGGTTATCAGGCAAGGGGAAAATGGGGGGCAGGTGGGCAGGTATAAATCAGGTAAAGAGGTCAAAGGTATGGTGAAGAATAGAATTGGATATTTAATGGTAAACTTAATACAGCATATACAGATGTTGACTTATAATGCACAACTGACACTAATGTTAAAATGCAATGTTACTTCAATAATTTTTTTTCTTAAAAAAATACCAGACTGTTGCATAAGAACAAAAGACAGTAAGAGATCAACATTTTCCTGTTGTTTATAAAAATATACAAATTATACAAATAACAAAATGAAATTTTATTGTATTATATACATTAGAGATATCTTTTAAATTTTCTTACCTGTATGGAAGTAATAGAAGCTGAATGTCCCTGAAGGACTGCAACTGGTGCACAAGTTCGAAGACACCACACTCTTACAACCTTATCACAGCTGCCTGCGGCAATGAGAGTGTTTTCATAGTTAACAGCCATGTCAGAAATTTCAGCAGAGTGCCCTCGAAGTGTAGCAAGGAGGCGTCCATCATCTGTAGCCCAAATTTTCACCAAACAGTCATCTGAACCCTACGGTAACACAAAAGGACAGGACATTTACAACAAAGTAGCCATTTTCCCTGTCACACAAAAAAATCCAAAGACAAAGGGGTTTTATTAGGTTACTCTTGAACCTTTACTTTGCAATGTCCTCTTTCTACATAACATAAATCTAGTAACAAATATAAACAATGTCCAAATGATAGCACTAGCAAAGCATTATTCTAACTGGCAATGGCATTAATGAAGAGTTTCTTAAAACTACTACTACCAGTCCTGACAACTCAAAATAATTTTAATTCACATTCATTTCTCAGGAAAATAAGGGGCTGTTAATCTCTGGTGAAAATATTATGCTGAACTTTCTACTGAATATTCAAAATTGCTTTAAAATATTAAGATGAAATCTTACTCGGATGTAGATGTTACTTAATAAATGTTAATAAAAAGATGTCAAGGATTATCCTCATCGTGATCATTAACATCCAAAATACATTTTATAAATATCTGCTAAAATGGAATGACATAAAATTAAGTAGCTAACACAATTTAACTACCTCTAGAATATAAAGCCTTTTAGAATAGGTTTCCCAAAAGATTGAGGAGATTATAGTTACATAAAATGAGAAAAGTTTTCAATTTCTACTCATCTCATTTTTCTTGCATTCATGTATCTAAAAAAGGATAAACTGCTTATAAAACAGAATTCAATGTCATAAAGCCTAGCTTCAATTGTTGTAAATCACTAACATACTACAGTACCATAAAATTTAAACTCACTGTAAAAATTCTTCTCCCACTTCGGTCAAATGCTACACAGTAGACAGATGATAAGTGCCCCAGAATTCTCTTATGCATCTTAATGTGCTGGTAAGCAGATGAAGGAAAAATATGGCTGAAGCGACTACATCCAGTTAATTGCCTGGCAGAGGTGATATTCACTGGAAAATACAAAATAGGATTTTCACTTCTTAGAACCTGAAAATTGAAACCAACTTCCTGAAGTTAAATTATGAATATTAAGATGAGAAAAAACAGGATATACACATCACAATTCTACCCTATGAGAAATCCAAGTTCCATTACATATTTCATGATTTTATTAAGTTCACTACCACGAAGTACTAAGGATAAATCTTTTAAATGGAAGGAGGTCTGATTTTCTGCTTACTTTACTATGATTTCTCAAGTACATTTTATGCTTTGTTTTATTGATGCACTATAGTCAAAGACACTATCACTTTAAAAAATAAATACATAAATAATAAATTAAATATATAGACAAATGTACTGTGCCATCAAGGAATTTTAGGATAAAGACTATATTTGGTTAAGTATAACACATCTTTAATATTATATTGGGAATTTCATGCATTCCTGTCTTACCACCTCAAACCCATCTACCCCATATTCAGCTATTCCTAAAATCTCAATAGTAAAACAAGAGATTTATACTGCAAAAAAAGAAGGGAAATTATTATACCACATCATTTGTTTTTAGTAACAATTCTGTCTAGACTTCTTTTTTTTTTTTGGTTTCTGTAACTGGAGGCTCTCCCTCTAGTTAAAAATGTGCTTCTGAGGACTCATCTCCTATCAGATCATCTTATTTCCTTTGTTTCCCATTGTTCTTAATTTTCATAAAAAATGACCAGAATAAAGACTAAGTCTATGGAATTCTCCTCCAAATACCAAATGAGCATTCTGCTCATTTCCCTAAAATAGAAATCTTGGTAGCCATATAAACATTTACAAGCATTCACTTGCCCTGTGAAGTAAGTCTTTCCTTATATACTGAAAATAGTTAACACTACACAATATATTTCAACCAAACTATAAAATTCCTGTAAGTTCAAAGTCACCTTCAAGGTGACATTATATCATACTGGATAAATAATATAGTACAAATGTTAAATGCTGTATTTTGAAGTAAGTCAAAATTAATGCAAGAATTGACTTGTAGCTAGATTAGTACAATTAAATCTCTTTTTCAGGGAAAGGTAGATTCACTGGACATTTTAAACAGATAAAATGACAGAAAAAATGAATGATGAACAGCAAAATCAACAAACCACTGAATGAAATTCATAAGGTACATTAAAGAACTGAGTATTTATATATCACTGTGAGATGCTAAGAAAATAATGGTAAACAACCCATAAGCATCAGTACCAGGTATGAGGATTTCTTTCTGGCAGTTACTCCTCATCCTAAAATCTAAAAATTTTTAGGACTCAATATGAGAAATAACTCTGGCACTTCATTATTTTCCTTCTACAGTCCAATATTTCTTACTACTTTAAGGTCCTTAAAACACTCACTCATTACTTCTGCTTTTCTTTTTTCTATTCATAATTTGTAAATAGAAGAAAAGGTATGTTACTTGAAGGCAGGGTTTACCAACCCTGGAACTCTTGGCACTTTGAGTTCGATGATACTTTATTATGGGAGGACTGTCTGTCCATTGTAGACTGTTAAACAGATCCCTGGCTTCCTAAACACTTGAAGATAATAACAACCCCACCACATCCACCAAATCAGGAAAATCAAAAATATACCTTGATACTGCTTAACCACCCCTATTTGGGGCGGGGCATTTAAGGGTTGTAAAAAAAAAATCTGCCCCTGATTTGGAAACCACTGCTTAAAAGATACATATATTCACATATACACATATATACATATATTCGACTGAAAGAAAAAAATCAAAAAGCAACTCTGAGAAGACAAAGAGAGACAGAAAGAGAAGCAAAAAGAGAATGACGGAAAGGAAAGGTAAAAATCTACCAAAAAAATCAATTTATCCATACAGCAAATATCTACGTTTCTCAATGGCTAAATGAACATAAGTATATCAACAAAATATTCTTAAGCTTTTAAAGATACTCTCTCAGGACCAAACTGCTAAATCAGAGACCCTTAGTGAAAACTTTATGTACCTATAGTGTATCAAATTAGCTTTAACTTTTTATGACTCCTTTATAAAGAAAATAATTAACTGAAAAGAAAACATAGGGAAATATTTGTGAAAAATATGAAAAAAGTATTAATATTTTAAAATACATACAGAAGTGACATCTATATCATGGTGGCATGAGGCATTCAATTTTTCATGCCCTCTTTAATCTATAACTAATAAAGGACATCTATAACTCAACACAAGTTTATCTCCATATCAAGTCAGGACATCAGAGATATAAATGCATCTGAGTGTCTGAAGATGGGTAGAATGTGTTGAGAAAATGTCACCACTTCATCACCACCCAAAGGAAATGGAAATGCCTACCTTACTCTGAGGTGTGCCTACCTTACACTAAGGTTAATGAATTGCTAAAGAGGAAGAATAGAAAAAAGTTAAGGGAGATGCAGCCAGGGTGGTGGTCATTATAGTCAAAAAAGCTGGGGAGTAGGTATAGACTACCTAGTGAGTTAGTGAGTGCATAGTCTGTGTGAAGAATTTTATTCAGCTAACAAGGAGTATAGACCTACTTATATACAGGCACTGGGTTTGTTGGGCTTAGTTACAGAAAATCTGCCTGCCAACATTACCAGCAGCAGAGCAACCTCACACCTACCTGATGGGAGATACAAGAGAAATGTGCTGTGTGTTTATCTCACAAAAGCCCCAAATCAAGTTCCATTCTTCCCACACCAATATTGATGGATATTCTTTGAAAAAGGAACCACAATCATAAAATAGAGAACAGGAAGCCTCTTTCTAATATGGTGTTGGGAAACTTGGATAGCCACATGGAGAAAAATGTAACTTAGTTTCATACCTAAATCCATACAAAAATAATTCAAAATGGATTAAAAATTTAGATATAAAGATAAGGCATAAAATACAAAGAAGTAAACATAAGAGATACATTCCTGGACATCAACAGGTACATTTGGGGACACAGCTCCAATGGCAAGAGAAGTAAAATTAAAAATAAGCAAATGGGACTACACGAAAAAGAAAATCTTTTGTACAGAGAAAGGTATCACCACAAAAACTGATTGGTTCCTTGGGGACTGGGAAAAGATATTTGCACATCACACATTTAACAAAGGGTTAATTTAGTTAATTTCCAAAATATGCAAAGAAGTCATACATCTCAACAAAAATACAAATAACTGAATCAAAAAATTGGAAAAGAGCTTAAGACACTTCTCCAAAGAAGACATTAAGAACCGCCTATAGGTACATGAAAATATGCTCAAAACCTCTTAGTATAAGGGATATGTAACTCAAAACCACAATGAGATATCATCTAACCTCTGTATGAATGGGTTACATAAAAAAGAATAGAAACAAATGTCAGTGAGGAAGTGGAGGAAAAAGGAACACCCATCCACTACTGGCGGGGTTATAATGTGGACTATGTAGAGATTTTTTCAAAAAAATAAAAGTGGATATACCATATGACCCATCAATACCATTTTTAGGTATACAGTAATAGAATATGGAAATACAAAACAAACAGATTTATGCAATCCTTTGTTCATAGCAGCATTATTCACAATAGCCAAGTCATGCCCATCAATAGAATACTAGATAAAGAAATTATGTACTATACACTCAATAAAATACTACTCAGTTATTAAAAAGATAAAATGGTGCCTTCAGGCACAAGAACATGATTTTTATGGTAATTGTGCTAAGTAAAATAAGTCAGAAAGTACTGGATGGTATATCGTTTGCAAAATACAAATAACAAAAGAAAACAAAATAGGTAAAAACAAGAATAATTGTTAGAGATTCTATGAAAACCATACTGGTTATCAGAGAGGATAGGGGAAGAGTACAGGGGAGAGAAGGCAGGGTTGTGGCACTGCAAAGTTGCTGGAGGGTGAATGAAGCATGTATATATATATGGAGATGAGTAACAGTACCCAAAAAATTATACAGGTAAATAAACTAGTGGAAAATCAATATATTTTAGGAAAGAACTTTTTAAGAAGCTGAAGAGGAAGGAAAACTTCTCAACTCATTATATGAGTCCCACATTACTGATCCCAAAGCAGACAAAATTAGAGGCAAATATCTGTGAACATAGAATCAAAAAAACTCAATAAATACAACAACCCAAATTCAATAATATATTTGAATATATTATTTCATATTTAAATATATTTAAATATATTCAAATATACTTTGAATATATTATTAAACATATATATAATTGAATATATATATTTGAATATATATATTTTCATACTCTAGAATCAAGTGGGATTTATTCCAGGGATATAGATATGGAGCTATACATGCAAAACAATTAATGTGATACAAGTCAACAACCAAATGGACAATAAAAATCATGAACATCTCAATACGTACAGAAAACATCTGAAAAGATTAAAAATCAATTTACAATAAAATTCTTAATAAAATGGATATAGAAGAAACTCATTTCAGCAAAATAAAGGCCATGTATGACAATTCCACAATAAATGTCACAATCAGTGATGAAAACCTGGAAAGTTTTCCTCTAAAATCAGGAACAAGAAAAATATGTTGACTCTCATTACTATCAAAATAGAACTAGAAGCCCTAGTCTGAATAATTAGGCAAGAAAAATAAATAAAAGGCATTAAAATTGGAATGGAAAAAACAAGAACTATCACTATGCTAAAGATTCTACTAAAAAACTACTGGAAATAATCAGTACAGTGAAGTGACAGGCTATAAAATCAATATACAAAAATCTGTTGCATCTGTATATGCAAATGATGAACTAGAAGAGAAAGGAGTCAAGAAAACAATGCCATTTACAACTGCATTAAAAATAATTAAACGCATAAGAATAAATCTAACAAAGGAAATGAAAGACTTGCAAGGAAAACTAGAAAACAAAGAAGTGGAAATGTAGTCTATGCTCATAAATTGGAAGATTTAGCATTTTTAATATGACTATTACATAAAGCAATACATAAATTCAACATATAGCATATT